TGAGGTTGTCAGTCCCTCGGCCTGGAGAAGTTCAGTTCCATAGTCAGGAACTATCTGAAGATCAAGCGACAGTGTGGAGACTTAAATACTGTCGGAAGGAGAGGTGCAGGGTAGTAGTAGTAGTAGTAGTGAGAGGCAACTGAGAGGTCATGTCCCTCTCAGATCCAACCCTTCTCACTTGAAAAGCTTGTCCAAGGTTTTCTGTACCAAGATGCCACGGTGTGCAGTGTCTGACAAGATGAACATCAAAATGGTATACAATACCGACAGGTTGTTAGGTAAGACACATATGCAACAGTTAGACAACTTTATTCCGAAACGTTTCGCCTACACAGTAGGCTTCTTCAGTCGAATACAGAAAGTAGGCAGGAACAGTAGAGATGTGAAGACGATGTAATCAGTCCATCACCCTTAAAGTCGTAGAATTTGAGGTTGTCAGTCCCTCGGCCTGGAGAAGTTCAGTTCCATAGTCAGGAACTATCTGAAGATCAAGCGACAGTGTGGAGACTTAAATACTGTCGGGAAGGAGAGGTGCAGGTAGTAGTAGTAGTAGTAGTGAGAGGCAACTGAGAGGTCATGTCCCTCTCAGATCCAACCCTTCTCACTTTAAAAGCTTGTCCAAGGTGTTTTCTGTACCAAGATGCCACGTGTTGCAGTGTCTGACAAGATGAACATCAAAATGGTATACAATACCGACAGGTTGTTAGGTAAGACACATATGCAACAGTTAGACAACTTTATTCCGAAACGTTTCGCCTACACAGTAGGCTTCTTCAGTCGAATACAGAAAGTAGGCAGGAACAGTAGAGATGTGAAGACGATGTAATCAGTCCATCACCCTTAAAGTCGTAGAATTTGAGGTTGTCAGTCCCTCGGCCTGGAGAAGTTCAGTTCCATAGTCAGGAACAATCTGAAGATCAAGCGACAGTGTGGAGACTTAAATACTGTCGGAAGGAGAGGTGCAGGGTAGTAGTAGTAGTAGTAGTGAGAGGCAACTGAGAGGTCATGTCCCTCTCAGATCCAACCCTTCTCACTTGGACAAGCTTTTCAAGTGAGAAGGGTTGGATCTGAGAGGGACATGACCTCTCAGTTGCCTCTCACTACTACTACTACTACTACCCTGCACCTCTCCTTCCGACAGTATTTAAGTCTCCACACTGTCGCTTGATCTTCAGATAGTTCCTGACTATGGAACTGAACTTCTCCAGGCCGAGGGACTGACAACCTCAAATTCTACGACTTTAAGGGTGATGGACTGATTACATCGTCTTCACATCTCTACTGTTCCTGCCTACTTTCTGTATTCGACTGAAGAAGCCTACTGTGTAGGCGAAACGTTTCGGAATAAAGTTGTCTAACTGTTGCATATGTGTCTTACCTAACAACCTGTCGGTATTGTATACCATTTTGATGTTCATCTTGTCAGACACTGCAACACGTGGCATCTTGGTACAGAAAACACCTTGGACAAGCTTTTCAAGTGAGAAGGGTTGGATCTGAGAGGGACATGACCTCTCAGTTGCCTCTCACTACTACTACTACTACTACCCTGCACCTCTCCTTCCGACAGTATTTAAGTCTCCACACTGTCGCTTGATCTTCAGATAGTTCCTGACTATGGAACTGAACTTCTCCAGGCCGAGGGACTGACAACCTCAAATTCTACGACTTTAAGGGTGATGGACTGATTACATCGTCTTCACATCTCTACTGTTCCTGCCTACTTTCTGTATTCGACTGAAGAAGCCTACTGTGTAGGCGAAACGTTTCGGAATAAAGTTGTCTAACTGTTGCATATGTGTCTTACCTAACAACCTGTCGGTATTGTATACCATTTTGATGTTCATCTTGTCAGACACTGCAACACGTGGCATCTTGGTACAGAAAACACCTTGGACAAGCTTTTCAAGTGAGAAGGGTTGGATCTGAGAGGGACATGACCTCTCAGTTGCCTCTCACTACTACTACTACTACTACCCTGCACCTCTCCTTCCGACAGTATTTAAGTCTCCACACTGTCGCTTGATCTTCAGATAGTTCCTGACTATGGAACTGAACTTCTCCAGGCCGAGGGACTGACAACCTCAAATTCTACGACTTTAAGGGTGATGGACTGATTACATCGTCTTCACATCTCTACTGTTCCTGCCTACTTTCTGTATTCGACTGAAGAAGCCTACTGTGTAGGCGAAACGTTTCGGAATAAAGTTGTCTAACTGTTGCATATGTGTCTTACCTAACAACCTGTCGGTATTGTATACCATTTTGATGTTCATCTTGTCAGACACTGCAACACGTGGCATCTTGGTACAGAAAACACCTTGGACAAGCTTTTCAAGTGAGAAGGGTTGGATCTGAGAGGGACATGACCTCTCAGTTGCCTCTCACTACTACTACTAACTACTACCCTGCACCTCTCCTTCCGACAGTATTTAAGTCTCCACACTGTCGCTTGATCTTCAGATAGTTCCTGACTATGGAACTGAACTTCTCCAGGCCGAGGGACTGACAACCTCAAATTCTACGACTTTAAGGGTGATGGACTGATTACATCGTCTTCACATCTCTACTGTTCCTGCCTACTTTCTGTATTCGACTGAAGAAGCCTACTGTGTAGGCGAAACGTTTCGGAATAAAGTTGTCTAACTGTTGCATATGTGTCTTACCTAACAACCTGTCGGTATTGTATACCATTTTGATGTTCATCTTGTCAGACACTGCAACACGTGGCATCTTGGTACAGAAAACACCTTGGACAAGCTTTTCAAGTGAGAAGGGTTGGATCTGAGAGGGACATGACCTCTCAGTTGCCTCTCACTACTACTACTACTACTACCCTGCACCTCTCCTTCCGACAGTATTTAAGTCTCCACACTGTCGCTTGATCTTCAGATAGTTCCTGACTATGGAACTGAACTTCTCCAGGCCGAGGGACTGACAACCTCAAATTCTACGACTTTAAGGGTGATGGACTGATTACATCGTCTTCACATCTCTACTGTTCCTGCCTACTTTCTGTATTCGACTGAAGAAGCCTACTGTGTAGGCGAAACGTTTCGGAATAAAGTTGTCTAACTGTTGCATATGTGTCTTACCTAACAACATTTCGTGGGTTATCATGGGTGGTTAACACTCCCCCGGGTTAAAAATCAGGACAAATCTTAAGCACAGTAGGGTGTAGCAAATAACTGGAGGATTGTGTGGCAAATTTCGATAAGCCACAGTTCTTCTGTTCCTGACATTATGTACCATTAACTACGCAGCTCGAGCATCATGACCACCGCCACCACCCAACAAAAAGTGTACCATAATAGGATAAATGAGCTTTATATCCAAGCAAAAAACGAGGGAGGAGAGACAAGGGGTGTTACATAAGGGAATGAGGTTTGCGTGGGGTGTAAGGGAGTTAGGGGTGTGAGTGTTGCATAACCGAGTGAGGTTTGAGTGTTGCATAAGGAAGAGAGAGTTTCAGTGTTGCATAACCGAGTGAGGTTTGTGGTTAGTGAGGGATCTGTATTGCATAAGTTAGTTTGAGTTGCACGAGGAGGAGGTTTGGTCTCTTAGTAACACTACCCGCATGTAAGCCACCCACAGCCCTGCCTCGTCTCCTCCCTTGCAATTTAGTTGTTTGAGCCCCTTATCCTCCGTGATTGTTTGATTTGTGTCGTCCTATTCTATGTAGCCTGGCCTTGGTGGAGTCTTCATAAGTTAATTGTCTCTTGGTCTGCAGGATTTCAAAGTCTTACCATAAGTGCTGGTGATAGTGTAGGCTGTGAAATGATATGGTGATACCGACATGATGTAGAAAAAGGCATGTACAATTCAGGATATTTATTAAAGGAAACGTTTCGCCACGAGTGGCTTTAGCTCATTAGGACTGAAGAAGCCACTCGTGGCGAAATGTTTCCCTTTAATAAATGTCCTGAACTGTACATAAGTGTCGTTTTCCAGTGCAGGCTGTGTTCAGGCTACTGGTGTCAAGGGTCTACGAAAACTAGTGATGGCTGTTTGCTTGTGATATGCCTGTAACCGATTTCAAGGGCTTGCCCAGCCTACCAGCCCGGCCTTGTCATGTGCCTGTTCAATCAGGTTGTTGCTGTTGTTAGCAGTCCGCTGGCCCACATAGCCCTTACAGCCTAGTTGATTTGGTGCAGGTCATGATCCAGTTTCCTACATTTGTTCAAGCAATATTTCTGATATCTGCTAGTAACAGGTAGAAGAGTCCTGGACCACGAATGTTGATACAGCGTTTTCGTATTGCGCCTATGATGCCCTTGCTTTTCACTGAATCTATTTACGCTTCCTCCCATATAACTCACTCCTATAAGTTAGGGTAGATTTGGGTCCTAGCCTTTCAATATGTTGTATATATTATCAGCTATCCCTCCTGTAGTTTAAATGCGTCATTACCTATATGCCGGTAGTAAATTATCTGTTATAATTACATAAAAGCCTGATAACATATTTACACTATCATATATTTATTATAGGAAAGGAAAATGTTATGTAGATGTTTACATTAGATGGATTCCCAGTCCCCACCTATGTGTACTGGTGTATCCTTTTGTTTTTGATATGTCTGGGAATGTTTTTAAGAGACTGGTTAAAGATTGTTGCAATAGCGATATCAACAGGCTTAAAACTTTTCTACTTTAACTCACCGCAAGTTAATTCCTTGATGGCATGAGTTGATAACAGGATTTTTAAATAAGACGGGAAGTGTTGAAAAAATCGGAAATGCCCTACGGTGAGCTCCATTATTTCCAGAATTGTGTGTTTAGCGAACCACCTCAACGGAGATCATGCCAAATTTCTTGTATTGGAGTACGATACTGTGGTTATATATCCTAGTTATATATTTCTGAATTAACTAAGCCTCGTTCGGTTCAGACAACACCGGCGAGTAATGGCAAGAAAACTGCCTTGGAAACTGTTTATTGATAAGAAATTCAGATTAGATAAACGGTATGAAGTTTGAATTCACGTGTTGTCCTTCCAGTTTGTGATTCACATGTGGAGGGGAAGTACTCAGTACCTCCAGAACATCTTAGTTCCTACAATCAGTTGTACTCAAAATACTGTAGTCATTACACCAGTGTCCTAAGGAGGATTTGTATTTTTTTGTGTGTTCATATTTTCGCGTTGTCATAGAGGAACAATGATGTTCAAGGCGATTTCATCCATAAAAGTGAAGGTTGAGTTGAAACCAGTAGTGGACAATTTGGTCTTCCGCCTACACTACCGATATACTTACACAATATATATGGTCTCCATGCTGCTATGTACGATATATGATATTATAGGTAAGTGCTGTTATACATAGCTAATAAATGTATTCTGCTTTCATAATTTGGTGAAGCACAAAACCTGTGCGAGTCATTCGGCACTTCACAAGGAGTGATGAAGGATCAGTTGTCCCCTATTCGCGGCCGGGGTCTCGGACCAGCTAGGCTGCTTTGTATACTATTATGATATGTATAAGTACTGCTATACATACATAATGCACGCTTGAACATATAATGGTTATAATTATTATAATAAATTTTAAAGAGGTGGAGGGGTAAGCCAGTGGAAGGTCTCGGTTGACCAAAAGCTCCAGCTGTGGGTCATAAATATGACTGAGAACCACATCAGGAAACACTTGCCCAGTTTCCTGGCAAACTTTACCTAACCTATAATATACACTGCTCTAAACAATCAATAATGCTGTATGTTAAGTATAACTTTACCTATAATTCCTAGTATTTTTTTACAATTATCTTACCAATAACGCTTCTGTTCTTCAGTGTTGAGTTCCAAATGCTCTTTTTTTTTACACAATATTATTCTTATTATTAGAATCTTTACTGAGAAATTCCCATTTTGGCATTATTTTAATCGAATTTTACTCATGATTATTTTGCCAGGTTTCAACCTATCGACTGCATGAGGGTAATTAAGGCTGCATTTCACCTGGACACCAATCATGAATATTTTAATCCCTAAAGTAATAATTAGAGTATAAACTTCTGACCTAGTATATACTGTACATCCAAATACGGCACATCCACGTGCTCCAAGTATGACCAGTATCTGTGGTTTGTGCCTCTGGCCATTCATATATTGTTTATCTGGTGTTTTAAATTTAGCTGAGGGAAATACGTCAACTTTCTTCAAATACATACTTACAAAAGCCGGGTCCAGACTCCCTCCCCCCCCTCCAAAAAATAAAGTTATATCAAATTTTATGAGAGTTAATGTAATGCATAAATATGAGCAAAATTAAGTTGGTGTTACTTTAAAAAAAAATTCTAATTAAACAAATTGCATAAGTTTAGATAACATGGAAAGGAGAGAAGAGAATCTTCAGGTGACACGAAAATCCTAACCCAGCAGTGTACTTACACTGAAATATTTGTAGTTCTTAGTTCGTACGTATACACAGTGGTGTGTGACGCTCACTGTATATTCTCCGAATTTAATTCATATTTTTGTGTTTAAAGTTTTTTTTAACTGATGGTAAACAGGCGAGATGAAGCCTTAGTAAGTACTGGGATATCTCCATTTTTTTATTCAGTACTACTGTATAATTTGTATTGAGTATTCTGATTGAGTATTCAGCTCACAACTGGTGGTAGAAACGTTAGGTATATATTTCCTTGTTACCCCTGTTCACCTAGCAGTAAGCAGGTATCCGGGTGTTAGCTGACTTGTGGGTGGCATCCCAGGGTGGATGTCAGTATACCTTAAATAGGTCTGGGCTCTGAAATGAGCTGAGGTACGATAACAATTCATAGCCTGTAAACTTAACTACGTAAATAAAAAAGTGCTAAACTAGTAAGGGTCACAAAAACAACAAACACTGACCAGTGCACAAATGCACTTACGTAGAAATGCTAAAACAGATTAGATACTATATATTTCGGCCTCACACTAAGGCCCTCTTCAATAAACTGACTATTGAAGAAGGTTTTAATGTGAGACGAAATTATGCAGTACTAAAGTCAGTACCTGACCAGCCGGGCTGTGGCTCATATGTCGGTTTGCGTGTGGCCAACAGTAACGACCTGGTTGATCAGGCGCTGATCCACCGCGAGGGCGTTGATCTTCCGGAACACCCTCCAGGTATACTCCTTTCACTTTTTTATTTTATTGCCTCTGTAGATTTACACAAATAATCCGCATATAGGAGACAGGAGCTTACAACGACGTTTCGGTCCTACTGGACCATTTACAAAGTCACACTAACAGAAAAGAGTGAGGCAGCCAGTATATATAAACAGGAGGGACAAGTACGGAGACAAGAGAAAGTTGTTTTTACTCTCCTAAAAAAATAACTGAGTAAAGACACAGTTAAGTCTCAGAGCTACTGTTTACACACAGGAGACAAAATCAGCTGTATGACTGGAATAGACTCTGATGCCTACAACGATGTGGTCAGTAACTTCTGCTTTATCATGGGCACATTCACGGTGGATCGCTTGCATGGAGTCAAGATTGGTGCCGAAGCTCCACACCCGGGCGTTGGGCCACAACAACCAGGTGACAACGTTACTTTTCACACGTACTACCAGTGGGTTCCCTTCGTTCTCTTTATTCAGGTAACTGGTCTTTTTTTTTTTTTTGCTCTTATTCAAATATACTATTAAGTGTATGATATGAAATATATGAACCCTTTGATATGTTGTACTACTGTATTTATGTTTGTGCCTTTTAAACAAATAATCCCTGACCTAATTATATATATATATATATATATATATATATATATATATATATATATATATATATATATATATATATATATAAATGAGAGTATTTATGAGCAATTTGATCACAATTCACTTATATTCTGAGTATATCTTTCTAGATGTATATGCATTGACGGCAACAGTGTGTGTATACTTAGAGGGATGTAAGTCTCAAGATATATACACTCACGGTTTGCTTTAATCTCGATAGGCCCATATTTTGGATTATGGTATTCTTGATTGGTGGTGAACAGGTGGCATGCAGCTTTAATGACCCTCGTGTGTCAATAGGCTATAGACTCAATTAACCAGCCATTATGAAAGAGAATATAATTCCAAGGGCTTGAAATATGACCAGACTGCATCTCAGTGTTGTATATTTATAAGATGGGATATAAAGTTTCTTTGTTTGAAGTGGATTTTCTGGGTATATTCAGGGAGTGATGTTCTACGCTCCTCACTGGCTGTGGAAGAGCAGGGAGGGCGGCCTTTTCAAGCAGGTTATACAAGATCTCTCCATTCGTGATTACCTGGGCTCAGACCTCAGGAATTACTTTGGTCGGGAAGAAAGGTAAGTACAGAGCTCCTAGTCATTCAAACTTCTGCCTCCAACGTTAGCCGCTGTCATCTTGAAGAAATGACTGTTCAGCCGGAGAGTGGCTTCCGTCCACAGTAAAAACTGTCAAGTTAAGCAAATTATTTGATAGGTTAGATTAATTACATTATTTTATATTACGTAAATCTTTAGTTAATAGGCTGGTTTTCCTTGGAGGGAAGGGGGAGTGAATCTTTGGATGTTTTGAAACGATTGCTCATGTGTAATATATTCAAGAGGCGTTTTGCTCCCATACTATTTTCTCCAGTAATGGACAAATACTGATTTATGTTTAAGGTACGCTGCGCTTTCTAAATACATCTACCACCACATGGACAATCATAGGGACTGGGCCTATTCCTTCTTCTTCTGTGAGTTCCTCAACCTTGGCGTGGTGATAGGCACTTTATTCCTCACTGACTGGTTCCTGGGTGACGAGTTCCTAGCATATGGCGTCAAGGTAAGTAACCTGCATACCATCTGCAAGTGTCGCAAATAACACTTAAAATGAAAACTTGTCTGCAATACTCTTGAGAAATAATTGACTGTAATCCTTATGAAAGAGTATTACAGCAATATATCTAACCCCTCATGTGGTATTACAACTATATAACCTACATACATGATTATTACAGAACCACTCTTAATATTATTCAAGCTATGTAATCCCTCATATAAGAGAATTATTGCCATTTAACACCTCATGCAAGAGAATTACGGCTATGTAACACCTCATGCAAGAGAATTACGGCTATGTACTCCGTATTATCTGAGTAAATAGACACTTAATAAAGTGAAGTCTTTATTGGTACAACGTTTCATCCACGAGTGGATTTTATCAGGTACACGATAAAATGATAAAGCCCACTCATGGGTGAAACATTGTATCAATAAAACCCATTACTGCACTGTCTTTATCAACTACCTAATTGCAAAAGGGTTTTACAGTAATTAAACTCCCCTCAATTAAAGACATTACAGCTGTCTATCCCCCTCATGTGAAGGTTTTATGGCAAACTATTTAAGATTATTTTATTTCCTGGTCCAGGTGTTTGGGATGATTGGGATGGACCCAGAGAACAGGACAGACCCGATGTCATACGTCTTCCCCAGGATGGTTAAGTGTACCTTCAAGAGCTTCGGTGCCTCAGGAACCATACAAGTGAGAGATGTTATGTGCCTCATCGCTACTAACATCATCAACGAGAAGGTACAGTAACTGCATATTATGGTTGGTTGAAGGGGTTTAAAGCCTATCGAGTGCACGAGGGTTAAGGTTGCACACAACCTTTCACCTCCTAAAATGGGGATTAAAGTAAATTCTCACAATATTTATTATATAAGCTTAAAGAAATACACCTCCCAGTGTATATATCCTGTGGTCGTTGCATTTGTGGAATTACCTGAACATTCGCTCTGGAAAACTTTAAGATAGTTTACATATAATTTTGATATTGTATATTTTTTTTTTCAACAAGTCGGCCGCCTCCCACCGAGGCAGGGTGACCCGAAAAGAAAATACTTTCATCATCATTCATCACTTTCACCTCACACATAGTCACTATTCATTAATAACATTCATTTCGTTGGTTCTATATACATTTCGTTTAATTTTCACCAAACGTAATCAAGCAGTGCAACCTTACTAAAATTAAAGCAATATTATGTAACAAAAAAATACTTAACCTACTTAGAATTTGAATAAATATATTTAACCTTTTTTTTGTCTACTAATCGGAATTATTATGCGACTTGGAGATTAAAGTTAGGAAACAGTTTGCACGCAATAGTTCAGTGTAAGAATTCGTGAAATGGGGTAATTCGTTCCAGAAAATAACTACAGAATAAACAAAGAAAAAGAGAACCAAACTAGGCTACCTGTTTTTAAATTAGCAACAGAAACAGTAGCTGTAAGAAAATATTACTTCAAGTTACTAGTTTGTGATCAAATATGATGATGAGAAGCATTACTCGCAAGTTCCTGAGAGCAGTAACTGATAAAATAGCGGTAGGATGAGGCCAGGTAGGTTCTCTGGGACGGGTCCATCCCGGGTCGTCTCCCTGCCCTGGCCCGGCATGTGGAAAGAAAGGTATTAAACACTGAACACTGTACGCGAATGCCATACTGTTGATTCCTTGATTGCAATGATGTTTTGTGTTTCATTATTATGGCTATATTAATTATATTACTGCCACGGATCTTAGCATTATCACCTTTTGCCGTTATCTTGATCACCTCTTATGCTGAAGAAATGCACCTGATGTTACTTGAAGTACAGATTGCATAATCATTACTGCACCTGTTGTTGTTGTCTTTAATGCTACATCATCAACATTAAGTTTCAAAGGGGGAAAAAAAGTCCCCCAAACTATTGCTCCCGTGAGGATGCATCTGGGTATGTGTTGATCTGATACACACCGAGACACTACAAAAAAAGGGGAGTACTGCTTATTTAGGCTATATACTGAGGCCCTCTTTAACAAACGTTTGCTGAAGATGGCCTTATTGTGAGGTTGAAATATACAGTACTCTTCTAGTTTATTGTCTCTTACGTGGATTTTTTATGCCATAAACCTTTGATAATTACGCTTGTATTTTGATTTTGTTTACCTCTCAGATCTTCGTCTTCCTGTGGGTGTGGCTGGTGTTACTGACGACTGTTACCTCTATATACCTGGCTTACCGTCTCCTCCTCATCTTCGTTCCCTACTTAAGACGCCTCCGCCTTCAGGTACAGTTACTCCTCATAGTCACCTTAAGATTCTCTTTCCCAGTGTAAAAACCTAACCAAAGTTATATAGTATATATTGACAGATTGGGAAAACTATGATGCCTTATATTACATGATTTCTTTAGCAAGGTTAGGTTAGTTATGATACAGAATTAAATTATTGTGTATCAGCTTCTCGTTTAATGTATTACCAACACAGCTTTGACCTGACCGAACCTTATGTAAGCTAACCTCACCTGTTAGGCTGGTCCTACTTACACCCACTCATGTCATAGACTTCTCTTGCCTAACCTTACTTAACATCATGTGACCTAATCTGTTCTAATCTAACATGAAAACCAAACCATTGCAGATGCTGGTGAAGACAGAGATGAAGCATGATGTTGCTACAGTGATGAAGCAAGCCTCTCTCAGTGACTGGTTCCTCATATACAACCTGGGCATGAATATGGAGATGAGTGTTTTCAGCGAGTTCATACATTACTTTGCTAGAGAACTCTCGAACTCTACCGACACTCTGCCTGTTGATGAGAAGGAGAGTATGAACTTGTGAGATGATCAAAGGCTTAGGAAATATAAGATGAAAATAAGATTTGCAGTAGGATTACTGTAGTGTAGGTTAAAAAGACAAAACTGCGGCAGGCCTAGTGTAGTAAAGGCTGAACAGGAAAAACACAATGATAAGCCTACTGAAATAGAAGTTGAAAAGAAATGTAAAACCTAGCTGGGGTCGGCCAGTGGATACTTAACCACTAAACGAGCTATCATATGGTTATGACCAATTAGGACTATTAATTCCTGACGATTCGTCAGGAATTAACTCAGTGGGTTATTCGTCAGTGACGAATAACCCACCATCATTAGAGCTTTAATCCTTATTTTAGGGTTAAAAGTATTATTATTGGTGGTGTAAATGTGCAATGTAGCCTTAGTGACCCTCGTATAGTCAATAAGCTTTCAACCTAACCATTAACCCAAAGTTTAATTAACCAATCTCAGCGCCTGGGAAATGAGTAGTAATCAGGTTTGATCCAGGTAAAAGGAGGTTAGTCCCAATTGCTTGGATCAAGGATCCTTTACCGACATTAAGGCTTTTTCTTTCTTTGAAGGACCAATGGAGGTGGAAAACTGAAATAACATGAACACTAACACTAATATGGTAACCTGAAAAGGATGACCACAAAAAAATTCAGTCGAGGTGAAACTAGATTAAAATGATACTGGATGAACTCCGGTTACGGCCAAATTTATATTAATAAGCAATGACTGTAACACCCCAGGTACCATTATTATTATAATCAGAAAGAGGCGCTAAACCACAAGGGTTATACAGCCACCCTGTCTATGTTCTAGACAATCTTCATGCCTAGTTTGAACAAATTCAAATCACGGTCTTGAAGAGACTAGTAGATTCGAAGCTCATCAAAGTACATATTATATTGTAGATGTCGCTAAATAATCATAATTTCTGAAAGGAAAATGGTAGCTTTTAGATATCAGTAACGTTCGAATAATACGGTTTACTGTTCGAGACCCCTCAAGGGAGGTTCCTTGACGCTGGTGAGGGGCTCTTGATCTAGGGAATTGGATTTGTGCTCCGGTTCCCTGAATTGAGCCTGAATACCTTCTATCCCCCCCCACATGCGCTGTATAATCCTACGGGTTTAGCGCTCCCCCATGATTATACTAATATTGTTAGAGAATGTATGTAGTGATGAAATGGGTTTTCTTTATACAAGTGTGTTCAGTTATGTTCACATAGTTATTATGGGAAGTTACTTATACTAAGGATGTGCTACGTTTATATACACTATCACACGTATATTTATTTGTAATCACTGAAAAGCTTCCATATTTTGAAATATTTATCATTTGTCAGTGCGGTTTATCAGTGTAATTAATGGCTTTGAGTAAGGCATTTCGCAAATGTGGAAAAGTATATTGTACACTACACACGGGCCATCGACATGGATTGGTTGGGACGTGTCAGTTAGACTAAGTCCCAGAGGTACACATACGCTTCTAAGTTTGAAGCCGCTCAGATGTTGCATTCTTAAGGTATCGGCACCGCATATAGCTTCATAACTAGGCAAAGGTTGGTCAAGTGGATGGGTGGGAATGGTTGGTTTTGAGGAGGACCTGCCTTGTATGGGCCAGTACTCCTATGTTCTTATAATACAACATATTGTTACATAATACATTACATAAATATAATACACATTTCTGTATAATATATAAGTATAACTCCACGGCTCACCATGCGAGTGGTAATGTCGCCAGAAACAAATCTAATGGGTTCATATATTTATGGTTAATAAACTTTTTGTACAAATGATGGGGTTTATGAATACCTTCAAATAAATTATATAAATATTACAGTGAAGAAAATAAATAATTGGAGGAATAATGTCTTGTTTCCTGACAAATAAAATACCACTGCTACCAGGATATATCCACTGAAATGTGTATTTCTCTCAGCGTATGTATGTTGAGAGTCTGATTTAATTCTTATTTTAGGGATTAAATTATTCTTGTCTGAGGTGAAGAGATTACGTATAGACCTATGTATATACATTATGGATTAAGTTATTCTTGACTGATAATGGGTAAGTTATATACAGACTTAATGACCCTAGCGGAGTCGATAGGCTTTAAATTCAATTAACCAGTAGAATAAATGTGTAACAGCTTTGTAATAAAGTAAAAAATGCTGAAAATACTAACTCCTAATGAAATTGCATTAAAAAATTAATAATAACTGCAGTTTTTCCACGCTGTACCAAATCTTTTTTCTTAAAAGATATATACCCTTCAATTTTTTAAATACGTATACAGAGCTGTGAGGCCTATTTATTAGTAAATTCATGTTCGTCATCTTCAAGCAGCAGGTATAATATTATCAGTACATCGCCATTTCATCAGTCCATGATAAGATATGCATGAAAAGCTTGTGGTTGAGAATGAGAAATATAACCAACGAATATTGCAAGAAAATTATTAACATCTTTATAAAGTCAGTTATATTTTATTAAAATATGTATACAGAAACGGCACTACTAAATTCGAGGGTCCACTGTATATTTAAATGCCTATCGTTGAAGATTATTTTCAGACATATCATTCTTCTAGGATAAGGAACTAAACCTTGGGGTTAATGGTACGAGAGTCAACAATTTACAAATATATGGGGAAATCCTAGAAGTCTGGGCAACTCTGACCCCATCCACCTCTGTGGGGGCTGGATCGAGTGGTTGCGTCTCTGGAGATATGCAGAGGAAGTCCTCACCTGAGATTCTTGGCCCACTGATCCCCTCAAGGGAGGTCCTTGATGCTGGTGAGGGGCTCTTGATCTAGGGAATTGGATCTATGCTCCGGTTCCCTGAATTGAACCTGAATACCTTCCATCCCCCCACATGCGCTTTATAATCCTACGGGTTTAGCGCTCCACATGATTATAATAATAATAATTGGCCCAATGATCTTTGATCAATGGACCAAACCCGTGGAAATGGATGTTTTGCCGAGAAAACTGATGAAGAAAATAAAACCGCCAGTGCTCAAATAGAGAAATATCGTGATGATTTCATCAGTGATATTAGTGACTTGTGAGAATTTCTTGTCACTTAAATCCCTCGATCAAGTTATTGATGATTTAAACGAGGCTATAGAATCAGCATTGGCAAATGTACAAAAAAGAAAACCAGAGTGAAAAACGATACGCAAAAGAAGGTAAATGCATTGCGCAGAAGGAACCCTACCAACAGAAACAAAGCTACTAAAACTGGTATCGAATGCGGCCGGAGAAGCCGCCTGCAACTCCAGCCAGAAAGGTGGCATGGAAGACTCATGGCAGGTATACATAAGGAAGTCACTTCACATCAGGTATGAAAAGCGATCAAAATAACCTCTTGGAAGATCACCGCAGCAGCAATCCAGATTCCCGAAGAAGTGCAGAACTGATGGATGAGCTCACGAATCGTTACGGACCTTCCCCCCCCCCCCCAGATGACATAAGAGAAGATAACATCAGATGTGCAATACATATGCAAATTAATGACTGGGAATTATGGTTTGAAATTAAAGTTGTCTGTCAACAACTCTTGGGGATGAAGGTATCACCAACTGGATAATTAAAGCGTTATTAAAACCGAAGGGCAACCTCTGTCCTATATATTTAACTGATAATATTTGTCAGTGGACATTCATATCTGTCAAGGTAGAAAGACCCATCTCACCTACATCATGCACATGTAAACCATGGAAAAAGCAGTTTACTTGGTTTAATATCTATTATGCATCCAATACCCATCCTGTGGGCGGTAGTCAAAAGATTAGAGAGGCATATAATGGGTCCAGGGACTGGCCACCATGAAAAAAAAAGCATCGGTGACGGTTCCCAGTTTTCTGTTACCTCATCAAACCATTTTCTCGCTTATAGCCTCAAGTTTTAAAGGAATGGACCGGTAAGCCAGCGGAAGGCCTCGGTCAGATGATCAAAAGCTCCAGCTGTGGGTCATTATATGACTAAGACCCGCGTCAGGAAACACTTGTCCTGTTTCCTGACAAATCATATGTAACCTAACCGATTCATTTTTATACAATGTTGCCTTCAAAGGGGGCACCAGGGAAGCGGTCTTGATCTAAGGCATTGGAGCCATTTTTATCTTGGAACAAACCTGATTACTTGTCATTAACAAGGCGTTTATGACCCCAACGGGTTTAGCGCTCCCAGTAAATAAAATAATAAAAATATGTATGACTACCAACTCACACTTGACAAACAAGATAATAAGCAATAAAGAAATTATAATTTCATGGTAATTAACATATCAGCAGGTAAACTGCTTATCAGTTAGGAAGATGAAGGAGGTAGCCTTGAGTTACGACAGATCTGAAACATGACTACACAGACGCCTACTAGAGGCTTCACGACCTCCAGGATACAGTTAAAACGAGTCATGGCTGACGTAAGCAAGTTTACCTTGATCATACGTGATAATGAAAGGCTCTTGATCTGAGGAATTGGGCATCTTCTCCAATTAAATAAACTTCATTGCCTCTTTATTCCCTCTGTACGACCTGTATGGGTTTAAAAATTATTTTAGAGTGATACTCACTTTGTAGCGTGTAAAATTATGTCGTGAAAAGTTAATTTACTTGTAACACAATGAGAAGAAATTACTCCGCGGTCGTGTTGTTGTTGCTGTTGTTGGTGTTGTTAAGGGACACCAAAGGTTATGCCTTATTGAACCCTATTTTCCGGACGTCCGGGAAAAAATGTTGCCCAATTTTGAGTGGAGATTATTAAGAAAATAAAGTTTCCTCGAGAAAGATAAATGGGAATAAGTTCGCAATTAGGTCTTATGGACACCCTTGCAGAGCCAAACCTTCCCCCCCCCCCACACCATACACACACATTCGAAATGAAAACAATCTGGAGAATGAGGTAGAAGGCGGGATCCATACTCTCTCTCGGCGGATGCTGCAGACTAACATCTCAGTGGGACGAAAGAGGAACAATGATTGGCCAACATAGGTAACAGCTTAACCAAAAAAAGTCGATGAAACAAAACTGCTGCGAGTCCTGAAGCGAAGTCGATGGAGGCAAGTGTAAATAACAAAAAAAGGCACAATACCGTGACTGGAACGATACACAAATAACCCGCACATAAAAGAGAGAAGCTTACGACGACGTTTCGGTCCGACTTGGACCATTGACAGTCACCGAAACGTCGTCGTAAGCTTCTCTCTTTTATGTGCGGGTTATTTGTGTAGGCAAGTGTAGATTCACCTAACAGAGCCGGGAAAAATGACCCTTATATCCTCTACAATTCAAAGAGATAGATCGGAGGTTTTATCGGAAAAAAAAGATGATCTGGTAAAAACAATTAAATGTTAGATTAGGAATGATTAGATATAGTCACTTTAGATAGATCATGGGAGAGAGAGACCAGGGGGATCTTCGGTGTTCTTTCACACAGCTAGTCATACCTCACCACTGCTCTAATTAAGAAAGAAACTTGACGGTGTTACAATATTGAAATTACGAGTTACTGTGTATGTTTAAAGAATAAACAAGAAGAACAGTTTGATCACGGATAGTACTCGTGAAGAGTCTTCTGTTGGTAATATTATTAATGTAATATAAAGCATCTCGAACTCTATAGTTATTTGCTGGTTGACATAAAATGTAGCATAATCTAACTACCAGTTCTATATTAATTTGTTGATGATAAGACCGTGATACAAGGAACTACAAGGAGTGCCTTACATACCTGTTTACAAGAGTAACGTGATACAAGGAACTACAAGGAGTGCCTAACATACCTGTTTACAAGAGTAACGTGATACAAGGAACTACAAGGAGTGCCCAACATACCTGTTTACAAGAGTAACGTGATACAGGAAATAACTCTTCTGTATACCTGTTAGAGACACAGGCTTAATAACCACCACCATGGCATTCAGAGCACTGACTAAAATAAAAGTTAAGGTAGATGTGAAGCCCTGTGATGGAAAATTTGGTATTTCGTCTACATTACCGCTACACCTACATTATTTACATGGTGTGTATGATCCTCTCTACCCTCTACGGTATTATAGGTAGGTGTAATAATGGGTCAAGAGGCTAATTGTGTCGGCTTGGTAGTTTTAAAGTTGCATTTCCTCGTGTGTGTGCTTTTAACTGTCTTCCTAACTGTCTTCTTAACCTCTTTTTAACAGTCCCTTTAATAGTCTCTTTAACAGTCCCTTTAACAGTCCCTTTAATAGTCCTCTTTAACAGTCCCTTTAACAGTCTTTTTAACAGCCTCTGTATGTTAGAAGTGATCAAGGTCCGGAAGGTTTTTTGACATGTCTTAATGTTTGCTTGTGTGTGTGTGTGTGTGTGTGTGTGTGTGTGTGTGCTACGTCTTCTGGGTTCAGATTATCATTGGCTTTAAATCCCTCACATGAAGATAAACACCAAGATAAAAGCAAGCGCAATAAATCTCAGTCTTACACCACATCCGCCTTCATTTCAGAATTAATTAAAAACAGATAAGATATTTAAGCTTTATCGTTGGCATCCAAAACAACATTTCCTGCCATAGAAAACACAAGAAGCATAAAGTAGGGTCATGACGCGCTGGTAAGACTCGGCTGAAGACACCAGGAGCGTCTGGCAAGCGATAATATGGCCAACAGGTGTCTTAAGGAAACACGTCCCAATGTTTCCACCAGTGCCGGGGATCAAACCACGGACCTCAGTATGTGAGCTGAGCGTGTTACCATGATGCCTCTGGTAAGTTCGTGACGTCTGTATTTATACAGGAGTTGTCTTCCTGTGTAATTATCCTCCACCCAGGGCTATGACCCAGGGCTTTGAACCAGGGCTATGAACCAGGGCTATGAACCAGGGTTATGACCCAGGGCTGACCAGGGCTATGACCCAGGCTATGGACCCAGGCCTATGACCCCAGGGCTATGTCCAGGCTAACTCCAGGGCTATGACCCAGGCTATGAACCAGGCTATGAGCCCATCCATGAAACCAGTGCTATGAGCCCAGGCTATGAACCATGGTTATGAACCAGCTAATGATCCCAGGCTATGAACCAGACTATGAAACGGGCTATGACCCAGTGCTATGACCCCGCTATGAACAGGGCTAGACCCAGGATTGCAAAACATGTCTCTCTGAAGCAACACCCATGGCCAGAAAATATAAACAACACTTTTAAAGGTTCATCGTGATATCCAAAAACGAAAATTCTCATTCAATGAGCCATGTTAAGATTTCTGTATTATATTACTGTAACTGTGATATCCGTGCTCTTCAGGAAAGACAGTATGAAAGTGAGCGATAGTGGATGTGTTTTCTTCTGTAGATCGTACTGTGTTGGTGGGGAAATAACTGTTGTGCCGTTTATGGTATACATATATATTCAATCCATGATAGCCAGGCAGAGCTTCGTAACTACTGGTAGCTTCATAACGCAGATTCTAAATGTATAATATGGTAAACAACACCCAAAATAATTAATATATATATATATATATATGAATGATATACACCTAACGGTATTATATACGACTTCATGACTACGTCACTGTTATTACCTCAGGAAAAAAGATTGATTGCATGGGTGGAGTGTCGTCGGCATCCTACATGAAGGTGGTCAACAATTATTGTTTTATTATGGGCACCTTCACGGTGGATAGGCTTCACGACGTCAAGATAGGTGCAGAAGCTCCCCACCCTGGGATAGGTCCTGTACTGCCAGGTGAAACTATCACCTACCACACCTACTACCAATGGGTTCCTTTTGTCCTTTTCATCCAGGTAAATATTTATACAACAGAAAACCAAAATTATTATCAAGGTCTTCAGGTAGTATCACCATATCACACGCACCATCTAATGTTAGGTATGACTAAGACAATAATGGCTTCCTATCATATACTTTCACTATCTTAGGAAATTATCAGAAGGGCTTTAATTATTTACGAATTTTCTTGTCCACTAAATGGAACTACAACAGTAATGCTATTTTTTTTAGCCAAATTGGCCTAAAATTACAACCTTGTGAAAAAAAACATGCATTGATAAATTTTTTCTTACTAATTAAAATGAAATGCAGTTTTTTTTTTATCTCTGGGCGAGAACTGACATTTAGCCAACTAGGATTACATCAGTCTAAATTACATTAGTCTTGTTTAATAGCAATCAGATGAGCTTATTACACAACCCGCACATAGGAGAGAGAGAAGCTTACCACGACGTTTGGGTCCGGCTTGGACCATTTACAAAGTTACACTGACTGTAAATGGTCCAAGTCGGACCGAAACGTCGTGATAAGCTTGTCTCTATGTGCGGGTTATTTGTGATTGTTCCAGCCAGGGTATTGTGCCTTTTTGTTCTAAACAGATATATTAATTCAGCAAAATGAGATTGATTACTGTTGAGTTACTGCCGTTTTATTCAGCAGAAACAATTGTTGCTTGATAATCTGTGGTAGTAAACTCTGCATAAAAAGCTTGACTGTTTATCTAGGGGGCGATGTTTTACGTGCCTCACTGGCTATGGAAGATGTGGGAAGGTGGACTTTTTAAACAAGCCATACAAGACCTGGCCATCCGTGACTACCTGGGCTCAAATCTCAAAAATTACTTCAGTCGAGAAGACATGTAAGGTATCTCTATTTTGCAACAAACTGTGTTACAAACACTATTCAATGTTGCTTTGGTGTGTGCATATGTTAATATACATTATGAATTTACAGTTAACCTTCCAGTTGGAAACGGAAATTGGACAAGATTGCAGTCTGTCGGGTATAGAACATTAGATAGGAGGAACACTGCGGCAGGTAGGTGAGGCATGTGCAACAGCTAGGTATATTTATTCCGAAACGTTTCTCCTACACAGTAGGCTTCCTCAGTCGAGTACAGAAAAGTTGGTAGAAGCAGTAGAGCTGTGAAGACGATGTAATCAGTCCATCATCCTTGAAGACGTAGTTTTGAGGTGGTCAGTCCCTCAGCCTGGAGAAGAGTATTTGTTCAATAGTCTTCAAGTGTGACTATTGATCATCAGTCCATCACCCGAGTGATCATCACCCGGTGATGGACTGATTACATCGTCTTCACATCTCTACTGCTTCCACCAACTTTTTATGTACTCGACTGAAGAAGCCTACTGTGTAGGCGGAACATTTCGGAATAAAGATACCTAACTGTTGTACATGTATAGTACCAACCTGTCGGTATTTTACACCATTTTAATTTTCAACACTGCAGTAGGCCTAGTAGCCCATACTAGGCAAGTTGCAAGTTGAATGAATTGACTCACGAAATCCTAGTAACGCGATTGCAAACAAATCAGGGCAAGGGTGGGGGTTGAACCCATGGCGAGTCTTACAGGTCACAGGTTAGCGAGTTGTTGGATTCACTCACCATGGGAGATCCTCACCAGTTCCCTGATTAGTTGTAAATCGTTGCTAACCACGACATCTTGGCTTCTCTTCTTTATTATGAACCATAATAATCACCAGTAATCTGTTGTACTTACATTCACCTTTATGTCTTAGAACGCTGGAGTTTCTTGTGTTGAAGGTACCGCACCTTATCGAGATACATCCTTCACTACATGGGAAGACACGAGTCATGGGCACACAAGTTCTTCTTCTGTGAGTTCCTCAACCTGTTAGTGGTGGTAGCTACCTTGTTCTTCACTAACTGGTTCCTAGGCGGCGAGTTCTTCACCTATGGAGTCAACGTAAGCTTCCAATTTATTGTTAGTCTTGGAACAAATGTGTGTGCGCGAAGATCCATTGGTTAGAACCGATAAAATGCTACCATCGAAGTGACCGTCTAAAATATAAATCCTTCAGGCAGCCGCTGTCTTAACACGTCAGTTTCTAACCTATGATTTTAAGCAAATGTGTCGATAACGTTATTCAGTGTAAATCGAGTTAGATTTGATTAAATTTAATTGCCGTCCTTAAGCAGAATTTAACCAATTATAACGCCGTAACGCCAAAAAATGCTGCAATACGTTGTGACGATAAAAAAAAACTTGATACTCGAACAGAAAACAAAGATCCATCGAGTGGACAGTCATCGACACCATGCCCAGCCCTTCTAGGGTAGAGTAGGTGCCTGAGCCCGAGCTTGCAGCTCACAAGACTGTTATTCCCATTAGCCCCCTTGGGGTGGGGATGGCAGCCCAGAGAGGCCTAGCATGTGGCTAGGCCTGGGGACAGTTATTCCCAAAGATGAGGGGGTACTTGTGCCTTCTCCCATGGGAGACTTAGGTCTCAGACACTCCTAGAGAGGGAGCCAAGGCCGGGCCGGGAGAATACCGGCGAATCTTTAATAATAAAATAAGTGGACAGTCAAATTGTAACATTTTTATTTCACTTTCCAGTCAGACATCCGACGACGTTCGTAGCCAAAGTGATATATTGACGTTAAATAGGATGGTATGTACGTAGACACTGTCCTGTCGGTATGATGCACTCAGTGTTATGTTGCAGAGAAACTTTATGGTCATTGTCATACGTGTTAAGAAGACCTGTGCAAATGTAATCATTTATTAAACATTACCCAAAAAAAATCTTGACGGTCAGGACAAAACCTGGACGCCAGTTGTACGCGCTTCTTAGGTTAAGTTAGGTTAAGTTAGGCAAGATGTGTCAGGTAACAGGACAAGTGTTTCCTGACGGGGGTCTTATATGATGACCCGCAGATGGAGCTTTTGGTCATCTGACCGAGGCCTTCCACTAGCTTACCCTTCCACACCTTTAAAAGTTATGATCATGATTATAACCATTTTTAATATACGCGCTGCTGTGTGACTAGTTAATGGCCTAAGTCACGAGTTACATTCTCCTGTGTGTGGGTTATCTGAATGTAAGTAAATAATTATAACTTACAGATAAAGAAAGATACTTCTCACATTGCATGCATACTGAAATTTAAGTTTTAATTCTGTTAGGGCTTAAATTTTGTAAATGACTTAAAATCAGCAAAAAGGTTGATCGCAAGCTTAATAATCTCGCTGAGAGAGTAACTTGACTAACTTGGTTTTAATCTTTCCGTTGAGTATATAAACCCGGGTTAACTCTAAATTGCCTATTTCTTACTGAAGTAAACTATTGATTTATGACTGCCACAAAATATCGTACATCCTCGTAATAAACTATTATATTGATGGTCAGATGCTTGAAGTAGTCGGGTTGGACCCGGAGAACCGGACGGACCCTATGTCTTACATCTTCCCTAAGATGGCAAAGTGTGTTTTCAGGAGCTTCGGTGCCTCGGGAACCATCCAAGTACGGGACGTTATGTGCCTCATAGCTACTAACATCATCAACGAGAAGGTGAGTCATAGGTCTGCACGTTTAGTGTTTAATATTATCCTGATGTGTGCTGAAAGACATCCTTACGAGCCCCGCTCCTTGAAAGTTTAGCTAAGTTTTCCCTAAAAATATTCATATTTAATAATTCCAGAAGTTAGGTAAGATTTGTCAGGAAACAGGACAAGTGTTTCCTGATTCGGGTCTTATTCATATGATGACCCGCAGCTGGAGTTTTTGGTCATCTGACCGAGGCCTTCCACTGGCTTACCGTTCCACCTCCTTTAAAAACTAAGGTTATAATTATAACCATTTAATTTCATATTTTATTTATTTATAGTTAATAGTCATTCCTTTGTTCTCATATTTGGTTAGTAGTGTCCTGTAGAGAAACGTACTGACTAATAGTTATTGTACATGCATGGTTGTTACAAATGGAGAAGTTATGAGTCTTGCTGGGTAAGATTTATTCCAAACTCCGGGGAGTTTGGAATAAATCTCCTTACGTATGTAACCTGTCAAAGTCTTCTCTTTCGCAACAGTGTTGGATCACGGTCACGACTGGTTATCTTTAGTATAAAACACCATCTTAATAGGCTTTTTGTAAATTAGAACCAAGAGACAATAATCCGACAAAATAATAATTTAATATCATTAATATTAACGTGTCTTAAAAGAAATAACACAGAACGATACTTTTTTTTCCCCCACGGGTTTTTTTGAGTACAATAATACTAAAGGCCATAAGTTTATAATACAATTTATGAACATTTAGTTAGTGACATTTCCATTGTCACAAGTCATAATTAACCATATATACCCAAGGGTTTCAATCATTGACGGTAATGTCTCACTATAGGTCGACTATATACGTACAAGGCTAAATTGTGTATCCGTCCTCGAATAATCGCTGGCTTCGAGTACAATAATCCACCAAGAAGCTGACCTAGAGATAGAGACATTTATCAGAACTTAACAATCTTAACGAAACAGGAATACACACAGCCGAGATCTTCAATAGAATCTCTATGGGAGTCCTAATACTCCCTTCTTACCGAATATAAGTTCGGCTCAGTTCAAATCGGTAAGACGTAGAGGTCATAGTTAAATCCACTGATTGACTTCATAACGTCAAAAAGACTCGCAGCCTTAGTAGATATCAAAATCTCTAAGTCTAGAACTAGTTCTGCCCTTCACTGATTCTCAGTGTAGCGAGAAAGAGGTTCCATCTCACCAACGGAACCGTCTGTTACCAAAAACTTGAGTTTGATCAAACTAGGAGGAGATGTTACCAAGGCTCGAGGTAGGCTGGTACTCACTCGGGCAACAACGCCTCTAAGCCAGACTTCAATTCGGTTCATGAGACACCAACCCGAGAAACTGATTGACTAACTGTATTACGGTAGTTAGCACAGCAGTTCCCGATTTAATTCAATAAAACACATCCTACCTATATACATAGCTAAATAATATAAGGTCAGGTAGTATTATAAAGCAAGATATCTTCATTTTAGCTATTAATGAAGATACAGACAATATAATATTAAGTGAAAATAAAAATATATACATATAATAACAAATACACCTTGGGTTACATACAAGGGACGCAACAATAGTATACAGTACCGACAAGATGAAAAATTAAACATGTGTGACATCTGGGTATCTTCATTAGACGTCTCGCTATCCAAATGGCGGAACGTCAACTAATAACCAGATGTTGCAAGTGTCTAATTCTTCAATACAGGTTATTAAGTATAAGCAAGATCTTATTAAGAAAAGCGTCTGTTTTTTGTTGTTGTTGCAAACTTTGTGAATTAGTTGCAGTTTAATGTGCAATTATCTAACGTAAGGTAGATTATTGCACAATGGAAATAAGTCACTCTGTCTGACTTTTTTGGGTTATCCTAGGTTCTCTACACATATGCTGCTATGTATGATAATTCTATGTAACTGTATTTGTGTATACCTGAATAAACTTACTTACTTACACATTGTTATAGAAGCGATAGGCTGGAGTGTATACTAATGATAAAGTGTTAGGTTAGTGATTTATTTGAGTGTCCCCAACAGATTTATATCTTCCTGTGGGTATGGTTAGTGTTGCTGACCAGTGTCACTTCTCTGTGGCTCGTCTTCCGACTCCTCACCGTCTCCATACCCTTCTTCAGACACTTCCTCCTGAAGGTAGGGTGATTGTTATTCTTCATGATGCTTGAAACTGAAGTTATGGTCACATTACTCCTCACACTTCCTTCTGAAGGGTGTTAAAGTTCCTCACTCACTCCTGAAGGCCTTTGAACTTCCATCAAAGTTCCTCCTGAAGGCCTTTGGAACTTCCTTCACATTTCCTCCTGAAGGCCTGTCGAGTTCCTTCCCATTTTCTGAATGCCTTCAAAGTTCTTTACACACTTCCTCCCGAAAGCCTTTCACTTCCCTATAACACTTCCTTCTGGAGACCTAATGAACTTTCCAATATTTTAATGCATTTTTGTAATTTTTTAAGCTCCCCATTTTGTCCTATTTATGCCTGCTTGTCTTCCCTCTCATCCCTCTGCGACGGCAGTTACACACGAACGAGAAAGCAAGAATACAAGTGAGTCGAGTGATGGAGCACTGTTCTTTGAGTGAGTGGTTCCTCTTGCTCAGCTTAGCACAGAACATGGAGACCAGTGTCTTCAGTGAGTTCCTCACCCGCTTCGCTACAGAACTGACAGCTTCCCCGGACACTAAACCCATCAACAACAGCAAGGAGGAGTTTTGAGAACAACCTAACAGGGGCTTGTTATACTTCAATGGGTTACGAGAAATGTATCATTTCATAACTAAATTTGAAGAAATTATTTCTCGCATTACCTCCAGCAAATTTGAATACGTTCATTGAGTTTTTGGTGGGTAAATTTCGATAAATTAATTTATTGGATATTACAAATAATTTTTGAAAATAAAGAAAAGTGACAATACTAAGGGTGGAACAAGTCACTAATAACCGGCGTTTGGGCACAGAAAGCAAAGGTGATATCAAGTAATTACGTAGTACCGAATGGAGAATTCTGTTTGATGTGTCAGGGTCGTTATGACCTTCATGTATTAAGTGTGAATGGTGTCAAGATTATAGTTTTAAGACCGTGAAGAGCTTTAGGGCTTATGTAGAGTGTGCGTTTATAGCCTTTATTGGGCATATTTCATGTGCGATAATTGTATCGCAATGAGAGGTTATTAAATTATGTTTGTGTTGAGTGTTGTGGGTTTTTAGCGAGTGTACTGTCTTTATTTTAACATTATATAATGTGCTCATCCAGTTGCTGCGAGATGGAACGCTAATGACTTCCATAAATTGTAATGCCTCGTTAATAAGTTTGTAATGGGACAGTATGGTTTAGTCTCAGATTTTATATAATGTGCTCAGGCGTTGGAAGAGGCTTGTGGTAAATTTGATAATTAATTATTGTTAATATTTATTTAGTATAAGGTTAAATTGGGAAGAAGCATGTATTTGTTTAGACTGAGATTGTGATGTAGGTATTACTCTGATTATTCCCTGTTGAAGTGTGGTGATGACCTTTGTTTTAATGTCAGGTCAAACTTGTTTAACTTAAACCTGAAGAGCTTTAAGGGTTTAGTAATTTTTTATAGTTATGGATATATAGTGCGATAATTGTACCCAAATAGTATTAAATTAGGGTTTTTTTGAGTGTTGGGGGTTTTTAAACTCTTTTTTAACAATACAATTGTGCTAAATCCATTGTTTGTGAGATTGTGGATCGCTAATGTTATAATTTGAAAGGTTCGTTAATATGTTTGTAGGAATTGGGTTTGTATGTTTTAGATTGTTAGGCGTTGGAAGGGAGTTAGTAATATTTGTGTAATTTTTTATTATTTAGTAAGGTGTTAGTGTTGTGGTAGAGCTAGTTATTTTTTTAAAGGATTGTTGATGTAGGTTATTAGGATTATCTCTGTAAGGTTGTGTAGGATTGTTAGTGTCATACTATTTTAATAAAAATTAAGTGTATTGTTTAGGATTTTATGTATGTTTTAGATTGTTATGTTTTAAATGTTATAGGAAAATTTTAGTGTATGTTTGGGTAATTTTTATGTAATTTGTTTTGTAGATTGTTAGTGTATGTTGTGTAGGATTGAGGATCCTACTGTATCCATTTTATATCTTTATTTAATATCAAGCTGTAAAGTTTTTAAATAAAATATAAAAAAAAATAACCGGCGTTTCGGTTTCGGGCCGACTATTAACAAGTCACACATTCAGACTTGTCAGTGGTCTTAGTAAGACTGAAACGTCATTACTTTAGGTCTCTTAAGTGTGAATTATTTGCATAACTCACTGAAAATATAATTTTTTCATGTTTGTCTATACTAATGATTTTTTGAATATTTTTTATAGACAAATATGAAAGTTTTAAAATGTAAATTTTAGTAGTAATAGCAACAAAAGTTATGAAAATTTACACATATGCAACATAACGAGACATTTATTAAGAGAGTTTTGACCACCGTTACACATATTACATGGATAAAATATATGTTGGGAAGGAGGGTGTAGCAACAGCAGCAACACCAGCAACAGCAGCAGCAGCAACACCAGCAACAGCAGCA